AGCGTGTCTCTCCTGAGCCGAGGCCACATTCAGACCTGCCCCAGCTGCTAATGACACCCGCTTCTGTGCCGCTTTAGCACAAATGGCGCTGTACCGACGACGTGCGTCCGGGGAAATGATGACCTGATCAACCTGTCGTAGATTATCTTGCTGCAAACTGAAAAACTAGCAGAAGTTACTCGTATGTCACACTGTCAGGGGTGAACTCTACTGATTCCTCGAAAATGTGGCTTGACTCAGTGGTTAAGATGTAAACAGAGTCATTCTGAGTGGGTTGGTGTGAAATGATTCATTGCAGAGACTCATTTCTTTACAGTGGTGGTGATAGGAACCAGGGGTCACCATGACTACAACACAAATATAGACATTTTATTTACAAACCCGCCAGTGAACCTACATGTGACTTTTGAGTTTAAATGCAATGTTGATGATGGTAAAATAGTCATAAATCCAAAAAATACATTTTCTTTGGGGACCGTTTTGCTGTGCAACATTCTGTGCGTACCACTCCTCCAGGAATGGATTAAAATACATTTAAAGCCAAAACTTTATCACAAGACTATCATAAAACAATGTGTCAGACACCAGGCAGTATATCTAACCATTTCATGAAACGACTGCCAAGAATTGTTAAAAGAAAATACATCATAACTATTTCATAATAAGTTTCTGTGAGGGAGCTTTTAGAGGTGGACGTCTGCCAGTTTGCACTGAAGTCCCTGTAGTCACTGAATAAAAAGCCTTAGTATGTAACGAGCCTCAGATTTGAAGGGTTTTATTATTCCAATTTTTTTTGAAAAATTGTTGGAATTCCCCTTTAAGATGTAACCGGCTGCTGAAGTGCTGTTATTATAGTATCTTAGGTGGTTGCTAGGGTGTTGCTAGGTTGTTGCTATGTTATCCCAGGTGGCTGCTGAAGTGTATCTTAGGTGGTTGCTAGGGTGTTGCTTAGTAGTCTGTATATGACTGCAGGTGGATGCTAGGGTGTTGGTCAGTAGTTGATATATGATTTGCTAGGGTGTTGCTAGGGTGTTGCTTAGTAGTTCATATGTGATTGCAGGTGGTTGCTAGGGTGTTGCTTACCAGTTCATATGTGATTGCAGGTGGTTGCTAGGGTGTTGCTTAGTAGATCTTTTATGATCGCAGCTGGTTGCTAGGGTGTTGCAAAGTAGTTTGTATATGATTGCAGGTGGTTGCGAGGGTGTTGCTTAGTAGTTCACATGTGATTGCAGGTGGTTGTTAGGGTGTTGCTTAAATATGATTGCAGGTGGTTGCTTGGGTGTTGCTTGGTAGCTCATACGTGATTGCAGGCGGTTGCTAGGGTGTTGCTTAGTAGTTCACATGTGATTGCAGGTGGTCACTTGGGTGTTGCTTAGTAGTTCATATACGTTTGCAGTTGGTTTCTAGGGTGTTACTTAGTAGTTCATATATGATTGCAGGTGGTTGCTACAGTGTTGCTAGGTTGTTGCTATACTATCCCAGGTGACTGCTGAAGTGTTGTTACTATAGTATCTCAGGTGGTTGCTAGGGTGTTGCATAGTAGTACTAATGTGATTGCAGGTGGTTGCTAGGGTGTTGCATAGTAGTTCATATATGATTGCAGGTGGTTGCTAGGGTGTTGCTTAGTAGCTCATATGCAACTGCAGGTGGTTGCAAGAGTGTTGCTTGTAGTTCATATATGATTGCAGGTGGTTGCTAGGATGTTGCTCAGTAGTTCATATGTGATAGAAATAATTTAATTTGTTTAATTTGTAGGGATAAAGACATAAATTGTATTTTTAAAAAGATGAAAGTCCAGATGAGGAGGTTTTTTTAGTGACAGAGTTTATAAAATGTGTCTGTGTGTGTTTTTTTCCTCATGAATATTTGAGTACAGAGTTGAGGACCCCCGCTGAGCTCCATTTTCTCTACTCCCAGCTAAAATAGAAGGCTTAGCAGCAGGGGTCCTTACAGTTCATATCAGAAAACTCACATCTCAGCGCCCTGCTGTTGTCCTACTAGTATAAATAAAGTGTTTCATCTTTCACTGACGAAACTGGCGCCTTATTTTCAGGCACTTTAGAGCAAATCACAATATGTCACTTTCTCTGCTTGCATAACAGCTCACACAGAGAGGTGGTGCACGTAACATGTTTACGTGACGCAAGGTGCGATAGGCTGTGTAAATTGGCTCTTCTCCTGTTTTCTCCCTCTATCAGCCCACTCGCTGGAGCGATGGTGGGGCAGGCAGCACAATAATGAGTCACATTTAAAGGAATATTGCAGAATTTTTCAACCTGATCTCTGTCTTGTGCATCTATATTGCGCTATCGATTACCACAGACAATACGTTTGACGTGTTTCCCTGTACTTAGAAAAGAGCTGAAAACCCTAAAAGCTTATAATAGAAGTCAATGGGCAGATTCTGAATTTCATAAAGAAACCTTTGAAATACATGACTATATAGCATGAAATCAAACCTATAGCAGTTACACTCTAACAATACAGGTGTTATGATTGGACAGATGTGATCATTTTTCACTTAAGCTGTTCTTATGAAGTTTTATCACCATATGAAACATTAAAGCAACAGAGTAGAAAAGTAGTTCCGGGTACTTTGCTGTCTGAAATGATAAAGTTGGGTTGTTTACACTGAGAAGGTTTTGTCTTTATTTTTAGTTCATTTAAAGTTAAAGAAGTTATTTTGTTGGGTTGTTTAAATATTAAAACGTTGCTATGGTATTTTAGGTTGTTTGGATGTTGCTAAGCGGTTGCTAAAGTGGTTACTATAGTGTTTCTGGTGGTTGATTAGTGATTCATATGTTATTGCAGATGGTTGCTAGGGTGTTGCTTAGTGATTCATATGTTATTGCAGATGGTTGCTAGGGTGTTGCTTAGTGATTCATATGTTATTGCAGGTGGTTGCAAGGGTGTTGCTTAGTGATTCATATATTATTGCAGGTGGTTGCTAGGGTGTTGTTACCTGTCTACTATAATCATACTTATTTCTGATAGGGGGCTCCTAAAATGTTCCAGGTTGGAGTTCCCTATGGTTACTAGGGGATTGCTAGGTGGATGCTAAGGTATCCCAGGTGGTTGGCAGATTGTTGATGAATGATTGCTATGGCATTCCAGGTGGTTGCTAGGGTGTTGTTATCTGTATATTCCAAAACATTCTGTCACAACATCATTCCCAGGAACATTCCCATCATTCCCAGCAGCCTCTATCTGATATGGAAGTTCATTCCTGCCACTTAAAATAAAAAAGCATCCAGCACCTAATTATTATTTTATTATATTTTCATTATTAAGTAAACTGCTATGTCATTGTTTTGCCATAGTAAGTCATTATTTGGAGATACTATCTCATTATTCTGAGATACTAAGTCATTATTTTGAGATACTATCTCATTACTTTGAGATACTATCTCAATATTTTGAGATGCTAAATCATTATTTTGGTATATTATCTCATTATTTTGAGATGTTAAGTCATTATTTTGGTATATTATCTCATTATTTTGAGATGCTAAGTCATTATTTTGAGATGTTAAATCATTATTTTAATAAAGGTTCTCATTATTTTGAGACACGTAATGCTTTTCAAATGAAAATATACATAAATATAAATATTTATATATAAAAACAAGGAGAAAGACTGAAAATAACGAGAAAATAATGACTTAGTATTTCAAATTAATGGCATAGCAATTCACCTAATAATGAAAAAAAATGTATGTGATCGGGGGAAATGGGCTTCCATTGGTGTTTAGAGCCACTGTTGCGACTTGTATTTGTACAAAACTGACTGCTGATGTTTATCAGCCAATCAGCAGTCTGGATTTTGGACCGAGCATGCTCATTGGCTCACTGATGCTGATAAGACTCATGTACTGAAACTTCCTAGTGAATATTTTTTTTACCATGTTGAATTTCGGTATCTGGATCATGGCTGAGCTTTAAGCGTTCGTAATTAGGACTGATGGTTTTATTAGACAGTTTTGTGGGCGCTAGGCTCGTATTTTAGGACATTTACGGTAAAACCGAACAGGGTTTTCAGAGCCCTGCTGATGGCACACCGCCACCGCCGCCGCCGCTGCTGCTGCCTTTAGAAGCCTGAATGAGCTGAGCAGAGGAGAGGGGGCGGAGCCAAGATCAGCAGCACCCCGCCCACAGACAGCCAGTGACCAGACAAGCGAAAATGAGCCTGCAGGCAGAGAACGGGGCATGAGTACTGAGCAACGAGTCAGCACCCACTGATTCAGTCAATTAATTATTAAAAAATATATATAAAATAAATTAAATTACGTATTAAAAGACGTGACGTTCTATAAAAAAATAAAAAAAAACTCTTAAAAAATAAATTGGGTATTTAATAATGAGGAGCCGATTTATTCAGAAAATGAAATAAAATTAAATTAAATGAAATTAAAATGGGGGCACGGGCACTCAGACAGGATGTGGCATTCTATGAAATAAATAAATAAATAAATAAATAAATAAATAAAATTGGGTCGCTTAAAAAGTCAGTTGCCAATTAATTATTAAATAAACAAAAAATAAATAAATGTGTCATGGGCTCTCAGCAAGTAGGTAGTGCTTGTAGAATTACTATAATAAATAAATAAATAATTAAAAAAGATAAAATAAAAAATAAATTGAGTCTTTAAAAAATGAGTTGCCAAATTATTATTTAATAAATAAATAAATAAATAAGCAAGCAAGTCATGGGCTCTTAGCAAGCAGATAGTGCCTGCAGAATTTAAATAAATAAATAAATAAATGGAAAACAAACATCTACGATAAAAAGACTTTATTATGCAGTCATAAGTGTCTGTTTTGGGTACGATGCTGATTATGTCTTTGATATTATAAGTGACAGTATTTGTATTTTTTTAAATGCAGCAAATCATACACGTTTTTTATTCCGAGTGTATTTGTTTACGTTTTTGCCCACAGGCAGGAAACCCTGAGTCCTCTCCGCTGTGTTTTCTCCTCCTTTTCGCCCGGAAGGTCCTGAGCGCCTGAGGCCGTTCTGCTCCTCTGCGCCGCTCAACACCGCCGAGCTCTGAATGTCCGCGAACAGCGGCGCTTTCCGCGCTTAAACCCGGAGATACTCGCGATTCCTGCGCGAGAAGGAACGTTTGTGGGGTTTAAAGGAGGCGACCGGCTGGAGCTGCGGGGTCTGGATTTAAGACGTAAGAGCTTTGAGTGCAGCGAGGCCTGTAAACACGAGGCTGAAGTCGGCTTCCTACTCGGCAGCTTCTTCTTGTTCGCGTTTTCCCCCGGTCCACCTTAAACGGCGCAGCGGTTACATTGTGGCCGCAGAGTCGCCGGAGTGTACCCGCTGTGCTGTTTAAGGTGGAACGGGGGAATTCGAAAAAGAAAGCTGGCGCGCGAGCAGCTTCGTCCTGTAAACACTCTCCGGCTAACAGGCTAAGGCTAATGTAGCTTAGCGTTAGCTCGCCGTGACCCATTTTCCACCCGTGTCTCAAAATTTCGAGAATTTTCGTTGCGTTCGGTCTAAAAACGTTGCCTCAGCGGCGCCGCGTCTGGGTTGTGGCGTTTTATGGGCCACGGCGGAGGGAACAAGGCTAACTCGGCTTAGCTTAGCCGAGGTAGCTTGCCAAGTTAGCCTAGCTTGAGGGCTAGCCGTTAGCCGACTAGCATGTGGGTAACTGGTGCGCGTGGGGGATGGGGCTGTTTGTGTGTGCGCGTCTGGGGCTTCGCTGCGGGCGTAGCAGGCGAGAAACGTTGGCAAAGGCTGGGTCCCAAATTGCTCCGTGCTCCCTATGTAGGGCACCAACCGTAGTAATAAAAAAAAAATCCATTAAGGCTTATTTAATTTGGTCAGGAGTGAACCTAAATGTGAGGTATGACTTGATGCACAGCTACAGGATTAACTCCTAAAGTTGCCACAGTGTTCATTGCTGTGTAGTGAATCTGTTTTCTCACTAAAACAGACTCCTTTCGGTGCACCCGTGTGCCCTTAAAGGGGAATTCCACGGAAATTTCGTAATAATACGTGGTTGTGATGTAAACAAAATCAAATATAGCCTGTTTGTTTACTTTTTATTTACTATCCGAACCCGCCAGCGAACCTGCATGTGCCTTTTATGTTTTTTATGTGTTGATGATGGTAAAATAGCCATAAATCTGAAAAAAAAAAATGATTTGGCCTTAGAACAACATACATGTTTGTTTCCGCCATGAATGGCTTTTAAAACTATGTTTTAGGGCAAATTCTTATCGCAAAACTTATGTAGAACAATGTCTCAGACAGCAGGTAGCATATTCGTGATCAAATAATGTAATAACTGTCTGTAAGGGAGATTTTAGAGGTGTTGAACACTTCAGACGTCTGGTTCCTATCACAGCCACTGTGAACAATTCAGACTCGGTAAGTTTCTCTAGAACAGCATTTAATGCCAAACCACTCTGAATGACTTTGTTGGCAGTGCAACCATTAAATTATGTAGAATTTTTGAAAAAACCATGGAGTTCCATGGAGTTTTGCTCCTGTGTTCATCCATTAAAGGGGAACTACACCGAATTTTCAGAATTTGCTTAATTCAGTTGGTAAAATGTGAAATAAAAAGTCAAACAAAGTGTTTTGGGGTGAAATCCTTGATTGTAGGGACTCAAATTTCTTTACAGTGGTGGTGATAGGAACCAGGGGTCATAGCGTCTACAACACAAATATAGCCATTTATTTACTATCCAAAAATCAGTAAACCTGCACATGTCCATATTAGTTTTTATAAATGGCAAAATAGTGGAAAGGCTGAAATACAAACTCTGAAGTACTATTTTCTCTGTACCTTTTCTCTGTGAATGGATTTAAAAAAATATGTTTTAGGCACAAAGCTTCTAACCATTTCATGCAATAACTTTGTGAGGGAGGCTTTAGAGAAGAGGTGCCCAATCCTGGTCCTGGAGATCAACCACCCTGGATAGGAACCAGACATCTGAAGAGGTTGAAGCCTCTAAAACAGGGATGCACAGTCCTGGTCATGGAGATCTACCTAAGATCCAACACACCTGGCCTCTGACATTCAGTTCCCCCTGATAGCTTTCATCACCTGGATCAGGTCTGTTAGATTAGGGTTGGAGCTAAACTCTGCAGGGTGCTAGATCTCCAGGATCAGGACTGAGCCCCCCCCGCGTCAGAGGCTTTAAACTCTTCAGAGGTCTGATTTCTGTCACCACTGCAGTAATCATGTTTATCTTTATCTGATTTCTGTTAATGTGTTTTTAAAATTATTATTATTAACAGGCTTATAATAATGACAGTAGCATATAGGCTGACTTCATGGTAAACTTTAGCTGTTTTTTTATTTTCCTTTATAGGTTGTAAACATGCAATTTATTTAACCTATAGCCAAGTCTACTAAACCATATAGATTAAGTTAAGAGTACAAGTTTCTTACGTATGACAATTTATACAACAGTTAGTTCCGGCCACGCAAGCTGATTGGTTGAGAAGTGTTCTAACAAACACTGTATCACTCCGCTCAGACGCCGACGCTAAGCAGTGACACTGACAGCTGTAGGAGACGCTCAAGCCATTTGAACGTTTTTACTTCTTACTTTGCCACAAACAGAAAATGGACACTTTTAAGATCACATTTGACCGACAGCCGATTTGGTCAGACTCTGAAGATGAGACCACACTAAATTCCCAAACTGTCATCACCACTGAGCAGCTTTTCAGTCGGCAGCTGTGACAGAAGAACACCAACAACCTGGAATCAGCCAGAAATGAACCGAATACCATTCGCCAAACGTGCAGTCTGATCTTCAGAGTCTGACCAAATCGGACTGAGCCATAAAACTGCCGCAATATCAAGTTTAGCTCAGTTTTGTCAGTTTTTTCCAGATCACTATTAATGTTGTTTTGTTCCAGCCAGTCTGTAAAGCATCTTACAGCCCGTTTAGTTTGGCGAATGGTGTTGGGTTCATTTCTGGCTGATTCCAGGTTGTTGCTGTTCTTCTGTCACAGCTGCCGACTGAAAAGCTGCTCAGTGGTGATGACAGTTTGGGAATTCAGTGTGAGGAGCTGGAGAACGAACTGCCGGCTGTGCAGCGAGTGAACGGAGATCGTTACTCTGACGTAGCAACAAGCTGCTTGTTAAAGAGCTATAATTTGGTGAAGGAACTGCGAACATTAAAACATATTAAATGCCAATTTTATGGCCTTATTTATTTATTAGTGTATTTGTTTAACTGTAGTATAAAAGCAATAAAACTCTCGAGGTCATGTGTTATCGCCAATAACATCACAGCTGTGATGATCTACGGCGACCAAATCACAGCCGTGATGTTATTTCACGACAACACACTCCCTCTCGGGTTCTGTTGCTTAAATATTACTTATGATCTCGCAAGCCTACATCATGTCTAGAAGACAATAGGAGTGGGCAGTGTGGCTCAAATATCACAGTAGTTAAAAGCATTTTTGTGATACATATCAGACACATATCATACACAGACACAGTGTACTAGTAGAGCCACATCTCAAAACTGCCGTCAAAAACTCCAAAAATGGATTTTATTCAACATTTTACTCTCTATGCTGCACTAAAATTCACCTACATACGACTAACGATGCTCTCTTTGTACTGAGCGGTTGTTCACTGTTCTTGAAGCACTGATGAAATCCATGATTTGCTCAAAGAAGCATATTTTTGTTCAAGATAACAATAAAATATCATATTGCCCACCTCTAGAAGAAAGCCGGTTAGGTTAAATTATGAACAAATGCACTGATCATGATTTTTTTTTTGTGACTGATTCAAATTTCTCTAGTCAAACTGGCTACTGACTAATTCTTTGTCCAATTTATGAGCATTTTTTTAACCTGAAGCTTACACAGTGTGAGCTAAATGAACACACACAACTCACCAGCACATCTCCAGCACTTTCTATTAGTCAAAGTCACCATAGAAATAATGTTATTTGCTCTTTAAGAGGCCAAACTAGCATTCATGAATGAAAATCTGTTGCTTATTAATGTGACATAAATAGCATTAAGTGTTAGATGGTAAATGAGGCAGCTGTTTAACACAGTCATTCAGAATTGTGCTACAATATTTAAGCAGAGGTGTAGCAGCAGAACTCAGATTCGGTCGGTTATGTAGGTTAGTGGCTTGATATCAGTGGTCAAATCGGGTGTTATGATGGTGTAATATGCTGAGTTGCGTTCGCTAGTTGCATCAGTGTGGTGTCTAATATTTTTTATTATTTATTTATTATTTATTAACGAATATTTTTTATTTTTGTAAAAATACCGAACCACATAATTCAGATATTTGTTTAGTGATTTCAACCATTTAAGCCAATATCTTTGCTTAAAAGGCTTTCAGTCTGTCTGTCTATCATCATTAGCCACAATGCAGCTTCATTGCCACCCACTGAAATCCACATATAACCTCTCATCGTCTCTGTTTTGGTCTCTGCCTCTAAGACTGATGTATGTAAAGGAGCTCCGTTCTGATTGGCTGCCCTGTAAAGCGCCTCGTTCAAGAAGCAGTCTGGGCTGAAACACTGCTTATAACTTCGGTGTGAGTGGGCGGAGCTAAACAGCTGTAGGCTGAATAGGTGGATGTGTAAATGTTGGTTTTGTGTTCGCGCTGACATCGTTTTCTGCGGCAAATTCCAAGTTGTTTCAGCAGTGATGTCACTGCTTATAATGATGAACAATGAGATAACGAGGCCTTAACTGATCCAGCAAAAGCATTAAAATAGGTTTTTAAGCAGTTTTTAATTTTTTAAAGCACGTTAATCAATGTATTTGAGCGTAGAGGTGATTTTATTTGATTTGTGGTTGTAGCGATGACAAACGAAAGCTAAAATCTAAACAGCTGTGATTCCCAGCTGCGTTATTATTTTCACGCTCCAGACCGCATACTAGCTCACTAAATAGTGTACATAAATAGTGCATGTACCATTCAAAGTGCACTCATTAGTATAGTAGGTGAAGTACAGATCTGTGTGGTTTGGGACGTGGCGTTAGATCAGCCAGTGAAAAGAGATCAGCAGCTCCATTGGCTGATTATAGCTTCGCTGTGCTGCTCATTAGTTGCTCAGTAACATTTAAACGTCTCTAAGAAAAAAGTTTGAGGTGTTTGTTGATTTAAGGATCATTTATTGAGATAAATTGATGCATTTATGGAGGTAAGCCGATCTTATTCACCCAACTTTCGAAATGCTTTCTGCGTTTAAGGCACCTCAGTGTAACTTCAGCACCATTTATGGTGGAGCGGAAAATTCAGATAAGAAGCTGCCGAATAAAAAGCTGATTTGAGCTTAATATATATGTGTGAGTTTATTATTTAAGAGCTTTGACAGCCTTGGTAGCCACTTTTATTCGTTTTTATAACATATCATGCACTGAAATGTTCTGAACTCTGGAGACGTGCAGGCTATACGGATCAAGTCCACCAATCTAGCTAATCCTCTCCTCGTAGTGTTTCCTGGAGACGCATCTAAAGCGTCTACATGTCTAAGTCTAGGGCATTCCGTCTATTTTGCTTGGTATATGCAGTAAAGGAGATGTTATGAGCTCTATCAGCACAGTCAGAGCCACAGCTTGCCTATCAAAATGGTGACGTGGTCTTCTTAATGACGTAATCAAATACTATGAATAGGGTGTTTTTGCAGCTTATGGACTGCAAGGACTGGAGAGTGAAGGGTCTATATACTGTATTAAGCTTTTTATTTCAGGAATTTAAATTCAGTTTTCTAGTAGTGAGAAACAGATTCCTCTCAAATATAAGTATATACACTGATCAGGCATAACATTATGACCACCTCCTTGTTTCTACACTCATTGTCCATTTTATCAGCTCCACTTACTGTATAGGTGCACTTTGTAGTTCTACAGTTACAGACTGTAGTCCATCTGTCTTTTACCCTGTTCTTCAGTGGTCAGGACCCCCATGGACCCTCACAGAGCAGGTACTATTTGGGTGGTGGATCATTCTCGGCACTGCAGTGTCACTGTCGTGGTGGTTTTGTGTTAGTGTGTGTTGTGCTGGTCTGAGTGGTTCAGACACAGCAGTGCTGCTGGAGTTTTTAAACACTGTGACCACTCACTGTCCACTCTATTAGACACTCCTACCTTGTCCGTCCACCTTGTAGATGTAAAGTCAGAGACGATAGCTCATCTGCTGCTGCACAGTTTGTGTTCTTCATCCTCTAGTCCTTCATCAGTGGTCACAGGACGCTGCCCACAGGAGGCTGTTGGCTGGATATTTTTGGTTGGTGGACTATTCTCAGTCCAGCAGAGACACTGAGGTGTTTAAAAACTCCAGCAGCACTGCTGTGTCTGATCCACTCAGACCAGCGCAACACACACTAACACACCACCACCACATCAGTGTTACTGCAGTGCTGAGAATGATCCACCACCTGAATAGTACCTGCTCTGTGAGGGTCCATGGGAGTCCTGACCACTGAAGAACAGGGTAAAAGGGGGCTAACAAAGTATGCAGAGAAACAGATGGACTACAGTCTGTAACTGTAGAACTACAAAGTGCACCTATATAGTAAGTGGAGCTGATAAAATGGACAATGAGTGTAGAAACAAGGAGGTGGTCATAATGTTATGCCTGATCTGTGTAAGTAAAAGTCAGAATTAAACACACAGAAATGAGTCATTGGAGCTGGTAACCGTCCACCTTTATGTGAACTGATTGCATGATTTTTTTTCTCTTGGCTAACTGACCGTAGGTAAAATTGAGCTGCTGTAAACACTCCCCCTCACTCCATTTAAGCTATCGATGACAGATGGCAGGTAGTTATTATGTTCCGTCTTTATTTTGTCAGGCTAGGCTTCGTAACCACATTAAACAGAAGGCAGAAGCCGTTTGAAAGTGCTCCAGAGGACCAGACCGGCCTGAATGACTTGGAAACGCAGGATGAATGAATGATGTGGTTTCTCATGTGCGGTTTATAATCTGTAATTTGATCAGCGTCGTAGGGGGACAGTTGTTTCGGTGACCCAATTTCTCTCGCTGGCACTCTCTTATGAGCTGCTACCACACGGTTTCACCATAACGCTGAGGTACGACTTTAAAAGCAAGATACTGTGGCGCGTAAGATGTGACGACGTGGGATCAAACGATCAGATTATATCTGACCTTTTAATCGTGGTTCGTTGTGCTGTTTGTGTGTACTGTGTACACGTAAGAGCTGGAGCTTGTGGTTTTTATATGTAGCTCTGCCAGTGAGTGACCAGCTAAATCAGTTGTTCTTCCTGCAAAGTGATACTTTTTTTGGTCGTACTAACATTTGGCATTTACTCTCTGCTGAAAAGTCTGACACTTATTGGTTTTCTGTTTTTATTTCTCACAATCAGGTTGAAGAATTCTGTTCTGCTCCCATGGATAACGAGGGTGTGAGCAAATGATCCACGCTTGATCTCATGGTAAGTTCCACATACAGTTGCTCACCTTCATAGAGGTTCACTGCGTTCATATAGATCTAATTTAAATAGTAAATGAAAATTTTTGATAAGCATTTTGAAATTAGCTTCTCTGTAACGTTATACATTCTCATATTTAAAGTATTTAAAGGGGAACTCCACCGATTTTTTAAAATTTCTGTATAATTTAGTGGATGAGATATAAACAGTCATTCGGAGTGGTTTGGTGTGAAATGGTTCATTCACAGAGAAACTTACAGGCTCAGATTTCTTTACAGTGGTGGTGATGGAAACCAGGGGTCACCATGTCTACAACACAGATATAGCCATTTTATTTACTATCCAAAACCACCAGAGAACCTACATGTGTCTTCTGAGCTTTATATGTGCTGTTGATGATGGTAAAATAAAGGTCAATCTGAAAAAAAAACAAGTTTTCTTTGGGGACTTTTTTGCCGTAGAACACCCTGCATGTTTCTTCCACCATGAATAGAGTAAAGTAAATTGATTACACTATGTTTAACACTATCTTTATCACAGAACTACTGTAAAACAATGCCTCAGGCATCAGTCGGTATATTCATATTTCACATAATAACTCTGGGAGGGAGCTTTTACTGGCGGTAAACTCCTCAGACGTCTGGTTCCTATCACAAGCACTGCGAACAGTTCTGAAGTTTCTCTAGAACAGAGCATTTCACACCAAACCACTCTGAATGACTTTGTTGACATTTTGACCGTTTAATCATGCAGAAATGTTTGAAAAATCCCTTTAAGAACCATGAGATGTTTGAACTCCGTACTTCACTAGAGGGCAGTGAAGAGCCTATATCTTACGTTTCCATCAGAGTTTCTTATCTCTTTACTCCAAAGATGGAAACATAGGAACACTACTGCAGCCGGATAAAGGCTCCCGCATACCGGACGAGATGCAGAGATTAAAATGTGCAGATATTAAATAAAATATTCAACATTCTTTAGTGAAAATATAATGTTTTGTTTCAGCTAACTAGCTCTTTACAAACTCACTGTTGTCTGGCTAAAAGGTACAAAGTGAAATAAGTTTGTGTCACCAGGCTGAGGTAACAGACAAGCATTTGTCTATTTATCTTAAAGACTTTAGATTCTCCGCCTTTCTCGGTGTAAAAGTTAAGCCACATGTTGCCTGTCTTTTTAAATACTTTGTAATAATGCCTTACGAGTCCGTACTTCAAATGTGACAATGTATTTGGGTAGGGTTTGTGGTTATGTGTGTTTAAAAATGGGCTCAAATCACCAGTACATGCCTGGTGGGAACATGGCAACGACGGCTTTGTGTCCGACCGCCACAACATCAGAAACACTGAGCAGAGCCTCCTTCACTGCCAGCTTGAGTCATGTGTTCATTAGCGTGGCAGTGGGCACATTTGGCTTACGCCACACAGTATCAGCTGTTATCGGATGTTTCTATCACTGCATTTTTATCAGTAAAAGTAAATGAGCACGGTATCGGGCCGATACCCGATACTAGTATCTGCATCAATGCCTCCCGGTTCAAAACTTTATAGACACTTCTTTTCTTCTGAAAGGCACAATTAAACCTGTTCTGTGGTGTTTGGATCAGCAGACCCAAACAGTGCCACACACAACAGTACAGTTTGATTCTGACTACCTAGTGCTCTGCTGGGACAACTGTAGATGATAAAAATGAAAGTATGAGAGAGAAAAAGACGAGTGAGTGATGTTGATAGTGTAGTTAGGAGGCCAGACATGCCACACACCACAGTGCCGGCTCAGTTCCAGCTTACTGAAACTAAAATGACACCAATTTAAAGGGTGTCTAGTGGCGTGGCGTCGAGTGACTAGTGTCAAAATCGAATGGTGTGCAGCTCTTAGTCATCGAGTTGTTATTGGGCTTAGCTTTTTTGATCTTGGCTCCGATTATTCCCTTCTTTTTATCTGCGCCACCTATTGATGAGCTTCCACACCACCAATTAGTGAGCTTTAGAAGCATTAATGGATGGAATGTGTTTGTTCAGCCATTCAGACACAAAATAGAAGTTCACGTCTGAATTTCTCAAGTCATTTAACTCTGCTGGAGTTTAGTAACTGTTAGTCATTCACACTAACAGTAGCAGCGGCTGAGCTGCGGACTTTTTGGCTTTGTTGAAGCAAAAGGCCGCGAGACCTCGCTGGTCTGTGATGCAACTGACTGACGGAGCTCCACCGCAGGTGGGGCTAGTGGACGCACAGTCCCACCCCAGGGGCCTAATATGCTAAAGGCTAATCCAAGACTAAAGGTTGTTACCCCAAGAGACTGGCAGTTCCTTCCATATGTCTCTCTGACATATCCTCCCTCAATAACAACCTGGGCTAGCAGTAACTCAGACTGTGAGTGAGTGACAGATGTGTGATTACTGAAAGAAGCGTGGCTCAGCCGCTGAGGTCAGTTGCTAAGGTTAGCGTGTTTTATGCCATTTGTGTGTTGCATTGTCTGGTCTCTTTGACATATCAGTGAGAGCAGTAGCTTAGGAAGAATTCCAACTGTTATATCTCCCACTACTATTGCCTTCCCACAAAATGCTGGAGTTACAGATTGTGCCATGAGCGTTTTAACCTTAGCTTAGCCATTTGTTGACTCTCAGTGCCAAGATGCTGATAAGGTCCGTCTACTGATGAAGTTGCTTAAGTTATCAGTCTTTGGTGTCGATATCACCGATACCGATACTGCGTTTGTCAGTTTCGGGCCCAAGATTTTTCAGTCTTTCCTTTTTTTCTGCACGAATCACTGCAGAAACAACCGCAGCAGCTTTCTCCAACTCCAGATTGACACATGATTGACATTTATTTCCATGATACAGTGGAATTTAATCATCAGGCACATTCTTTTCACAGATCTCTCTGGGTAAAGGGCTGTGTGGTGTGTGTGCTTTCTATGCAATCATATGTGTAACGTGCAAACCACGACGACTGCAAACAGGTCCCAAGCATTAAATGTTGTGCAGTAAAAGCCGTAATGTGATTCTGAGACCTTGTGAATAGTGTAGTGTCCACTGGGCATAAAGTAGCTGAATTCACTAATCAGAGGAGGCGTCTACCAACTTTTGAACATATCGCTGTCGTCGGAAGAAAACCTCGAATCTCCAAAATGCTAACTTTACAGGAGAAGGAGAAAACATACTTTACTTTTAATGTAAGTCAATGGAACCAGACTTCTTTCCAAGTAATTATGGGCTGATTCTTTTGGTCCATTCATCATGAAATTTAGACGCAGTGTAAAGGGCAAAAGGCGTTTTCAAATTGTCAAAAACTGGAGATGCAAGGTTTTCCTCCGACAGCAGCGATATATGAGTACACTTATAGCCTGTGGCTCATCTGTTGCTGCAGTTTATCAGCTGCTCTCTACCCCATTCATCATTGGTCAGATATCAGATATTGTTTGGACAGTGGATCAGTCTCAGCACAGCAGTGACACTGACATGGTAGTGTGTTAATGGAGCGGTGTTTTTTACACCTCAGTGTCACTGCTGGGTTGAGAGTAGCCACCACATGAAAATATCCAGCCAAAACTGGCTCTGTGGTCGCACTTTTCATTGATTGAGAGCTAGAGGATGGCGAACACAAGCAGGTGAAGTACAGTCTCTTAACTGTACACCTACAAGGTGGGGGTTTCCAATAAAGTGGCCAGTAAGCATGTGTGTCTGAACTCATTCTGACATGTCGTAAGGCCTCAGTGAACCAGGGCTGAATGATGCTTTAAGCAGCTTTGCCGGGTGCTTCATCAGGTCATAGCCAGAGTTTGTGCTTAAATGGGTTAATGCGCTTAATCTCACGAGTTGTAAACAGACGTGGAAGTTTGAATACAGTGTCACTTCTTGTCTAGTTCAATCTAACTGGATGGTTTTTCTAAAATAAACTGTAACATCAGTACATTTATGCTCTATGAATATGGGTCAGTCTCCATTTGGAGTGCGAATTCAGGTGGATACATTTTTAAAAAATCAATTTCTTTCATCCCAAAACTAAATAATCTTAACATGTCTATTAACGTCTTCCATTGTCATTTATGCAGAAAGGAGAGCTTAATTCCAAACATGTTTTACAGTCACTGGTGTTGTATGAATATGGCGTAACACCAGTGACGGTGACTCCAGTGACATTCTGGTTAAAACTGAGGATTTTGTAAATTGGCTGACTCATTGGCCGTCAGGTGGCCTTGTGCAACTGTTTAAAATCAGTAATAAAAATGATAAATTGGCATTATTTTGACAGTTTTAATTCAGTCATTAAAGCACATAACACCGCCAACATACAGAAGTTATGAGCTGCCTAATAAACAAAATTATTAAATTAATGAAATATAGTGAGCAAGTGCGACTCGCCTTCTCATGCCTTGAGATGCTTACTCTCTGATGAGCCTCGACCCAAAGTAGCAGTTTAATAGAGCTGAAAATACTGTTAAAATGTAATGTAAGAGTCCTGATGACACCAGTGACCAAAATCTCTGTGACAAATTAATTTTTTAAATGTAATGTTAACAATATAAAGAGTAAACATGAATCTGTTTTATACAATTTCCGAAGTTAAACCTCTTAAAAATATATAAATTTATATTATAAACGGTTCTCAAATGTTGAAAATTTGTTTTGTGACGAGCTGTTTTACAGATGCAGAGCGACTATTAAGTAGGATAAAAAAAAGAAAAATCAGAGAATCATAGGGGAAAAGTGTTATTTAATCTTAAGGTCGACTGTGTAAATGTACATACTGACTTTTGGAGCTGTGCCTGATATTTTAAGCATCTTTTTAAGCCCTGCAGCCTTTGTAACATGGTTTTCCCTCCGAATGGAGAACGACCCATATAGTATCTTTTTCATTGAAGTGTTACCTTTATGTTTATAGGCCCAGATTATGGAAAAAGTGAATTTATTTTTATATTTGTTTTATGTAGTGTGTAAACATTAGCGTTATAAAACCTACTCTTTGCTCCCCAATCCATACAGTCCATACGTGGACACCACGTTTGAAAACAGCCCATTGTTATATACATGTACATACATGGTGATATACATAAAAACACACAAATGTTATGAAGGACAAATGTAGGATATGAACCATTTAAGATGCGATATAAATGAAAATAAACAGCCACCGATTGGCTTCATGCAAATTCTATCTTGCTAATTGGCGGCTGCTAACTTCCGTTCAGTATTGGCCAGACTGTGCATGTATAATCAAGCTAAACAGGACTTTCAAAGTTCTTTGTTCATAAACACTTTATTCCGATATCTTTTATGCAGAGAGTTTTAGAAGTGCTGCTGGCTAGAATGCTTACAGTACACAGCCTCTACCAAGGAGCTGTAATTAATTCCGCTCGCAAGTGAACGAGTGGAAATTTGCCTTGGGCCAGGGGCACCAAGAGAGACACAAGAACAAGATTCGCTCTCTATTGTTCTCTTCAGTTTTTGTTCAGAAACTTGCTTTGGTTGAGCATGACAGAGAATTTGAGCCCAATACAGGGACCATTATATGAAGTAAAAGAGAAGGTGAGATGTCCTGCACATAATATTTGAATGATACTAGGTTAGGGTTTCTTTAGAGTTATGATATTGTTATAGAGATTGTAGTATGCATTCATTTTTTAGGTCTTATTTGCATATTTGCAGTTTTGCAAGAGGCTGCATTGTGCTGAGTAATGACCTCCTCCCAGTTTGTAGTGATTCCCGATGTGACAGGGATGTAATGCGTATTTCTTCCCCCCCCCAGGCTTCCCTCTTGCCCTGACGTCTTGGTTTAACCAGGATCCAAAATGAGCATAAGCAGCGATGAAGTCAACTTCCTGGTGTACAGATACCTGCAGGAGTCGGGTAAGATTCTGCTCCAAAACAGATGAAGTCTAGGCCTAAAAGCTTAGCCCCTGTTTACGTTTCTCATGCCCTTTACTTTTACAGGCCCTTTACACCCTCTATAGCTCAGTGAATAGTCAGCGAATGTGCTGTTTCTTAAAGAGAACAACTGTCCGACTGCCCTCATTGGATAGCAACACTGATGTATAGAGACTGTGTAGCAGTTATTGCTCTTCTTTGTGAAGCCCTACGGCAGTTTATATGCTTTGCTTATATGCTTCTGCTTATCAGCAGAAAATCAGGGAACGGATTCATGAATAAAAGGCCCTGAACTTGCTGTGGGGTTGACTGTGACCCTGTTTGCACCTGCTCATTTCATGCAACTTGTCTATGGATGGATTTTAACCACATGCATTGCTCTGTGCCATGTAATATTCACATCAGCTCAATACTTGGCATCCAGTCACTTTATTTTTTTTTCATTTTATCGAAAACACAGCTGTTGCCTTGACATTTTTCACCCCCAGTTTAGTCACGGCCAGTTCCACCTACTTGTCAAGTCTCCCCCTAACACAAGATGCTACCAAGCTGGTAGGGTGAAGGCTTGCATGCCCTTCCTCAGAGACATGTGAAGCACCGCTGCATCTTTTTAAACTGCTTCTAACACAATGTTATTAGAAAGCTCAACACGCTTGGAGGAGAACACTAGCTGCCTGTTCTTCTAAATCAGCTAACAGATGCCCGTGTTGGCATTGACCTGAGTAGAAAGAAGACCATCCCACCCAGAGACCTCTCTTGGGCTCCTGGCCATGGAAGACAGGCAACTGTTTAGGCTGTTTTAACCTCATGTTTGTCATTGCAGTCATAACCTCTGTGTTATGTGTTATAACGTATTGGGCCGAGACGATGAATAACGATGGGTCGAAGTAAAGATTAACTAACTGGAGGTGTCACAATAGTAGTGGGAGTGTACGAATTTGAATATTGTATGTGGCTTGGAGAGACGAATGCATTTTCATATGTACATTGGCTTTCTAAAATGTGTCTCGGACCAACTAGTAAATCGGAAGATATTTAGCCTTGACTGATGTTTTACACTGATATTTGATAAGGTATTTATTGTACCCTGGAAGAGCAAATCGTTTCACCAACACGGGGCAACTAGGGATGCAATGGTGCACGGTATATTGTCGAACCATTCGGTTTACTCCTTGTGGTTCAATCTGCGCACGGTACTCTACAGTATTACAATATGCCTGTTATTTTCCTGTAACTTCTGAAACTTGCTTGTTGCACAGCAGACTCCACGCACATTGTATATTCAGATCCACAGAACATCTTTGGAGCGTATCAGAATTTCCCTGGAGCCAGTCGACGCTCTGTATACACGTTACCAGCCTAGCCTTTTTCAGCTTGAAAACAGGCAGTTGTTGAAGAGGTAGTAAATGGATGCCAGGTGTGATGCACCTCATTTCATTTTGTTTATAGGAATGTAAAAGTGAACTTGAACCTGACTATTATCGGCTCCCCATGCTGGCATTTTATACCAGCGCACCGCTACGTGACGCTGCGCATCCGGTGTGTGGTGGCCTTTGCAATGCCCCCCTCTACCTCCACACACATTTCAACAGCAAAGTAATGCCTGAACTCTATGAAACATCATGGAGAGAAGTATTGAAAACGAATTGTCACAGAAACGCTATCTATCCCTCTTAAATGATTTAAAATAGAGAAGACAAAGCACCAACAGGTTGTAGAAACTAAGAAGCACTTTTAATTTTGTTTTTCTCCCCCTGATTTCATACAGTAGAGACAGAAACCAGGCCCAGTCAGTCATGCTGTCATTTTTCTGAATGGAAAGTGTTGTTTTTCTATAGGCAAAATAGTTAATTGTTTAAAGGGTGTTGTGTTTTTTTTTTTCTTAAATATAAAGAAACTGAACCTCTACCATTACTGCGCCCCAAAAACCATGATACACACCAAACCGTGGGCCCACTGTACCATTGCATCCATATGGACTACTGTACTAAAATGTACATTTTATTTATTTTACTCCATTTGTTACCCTACATAAACAAATGTGACATTTACTCTGCAATGTTAATTCAGCACCTAGTGGTTATTTTTCCTTTTTATAAAAATGTATCAGCGTAAAAATGTATCAGCATCGGCCCAGAATCGGCCTACAGGTGTAGGTGTTTCCCTACCTGAGGTGGTTTAAGTGACTGGATTGCTGTCTTTTTAATAATGTGTCTTGGGTGCATTTACATATGCATTTTCATGTGGTTAATCTCTAATCCGGTTGTAATCCTGATACTCAGGACACAGTAAACAGCAAGGTGTGAATGGGTCAGGGTTCAATAATAAAGTCTCACTAATTGTCCAGTCCTCTGCAAATATGTATCAGAGTAGTGAAACCTGTCAGTAACCTGCCAGTTGTCTCTCGGCCCCCGTCGCTGCCCTTTCCTGCTCTCTCTCGAACAAGAACTAGATTATTAGCATGCCACCAAATGGCTTCTTGTTGGTAATGTGCTAGATTTCTTCTGACCGATCAGCTCTCTCTCTAGTCATAAAGAGATTTTGTGCACATTTGTGCATATACACAAATATTTCCTTGTGATATTGAACATCTTGGGAAAGCGTCTGTAAAATGTCCATCAAAGTTTACCATCATGCCTAATAATCCCCTATAGGCCTGGGCAATATGTGAAAATAATTTATGTAAAAAAGTGTTTATATTAAATAGCGATTAAATCCCACCCCCTAGAACAAATACATGGTCCACTGCAGCTTTGCCCTACTTTTTAGTGTAAGTTTTGTTTTTATACATTTTTATTTTTGATGATCTTTAATAAAGGCACATATTAAAATAATATAATGAGTAACCCAACAGCTTTTGAACTACGCCATCTGTCGGTATATCAAGTGTTACTGCAAATACGTGCATTCACGAGCTTCTTCTGGTGTAGATTCATAGCGACTTGTGTGCTAATAGTGCTCCCTGCTGGAGAAACTTCGGTCTGCAAGTGGTTTCCAAAGCCGTGCCCGCAATCTTTCCACATAAAAAATGAGCCATTTTCTGTCGATACTGCAGAGTTTTCAGAAACTACTACACATTTTACTTACAATAAATCGCGCAACAAAGGCGGTGGGGAATTTACTCTATCATAGCCTTTTAAAGGCCCCATTATAATTTGGGTGTTCCAACAGTAAAAATGAATATGTACACATGTTATTTGTTCCCTTTTTCTGATCTGGTTTTCCAGCCGTAGACGGGAATCTTCTGGTTAGAGCTAACTACTCTAGATTAAGACCCAGTCACTTAAGTTTGATTGTTTCACTGCAGTGAATAACTTTGAAGCACGTTGAAGTTCACAAGTATGAGAGCGTTTATTTTTGGTTCCATTTACTCCAGCAAAACTGAACGTAAATTAAAATAAGTAGAAGGAGAAGAGTCGTGCAGTAAAGCTGGCATTACAATGCGTAGCAGAGAGAGCTAACAGGTATGTTCTTAAACGGGTTCTCTCTCTCTCTCTCTCTCTCTCTGTCTCTGTCTCTGTCTCTCACTCAAAAAAGAGTATTGGGGCACAAGCCTGCGCTCTTCTTAAACACAAACCCCAATTTCCCAGACTATTCACAAGCTGTTCATTGCTAAATAACTCCTCTCTAGTTCACTTTCAGTTCTTTTCCCAAAACAGCGATTATTGACTCGCTATTGATAATTGATCGCCTCAGGTTACTTGTCCATCATCTACGATATCGGACTACGTCACCCTGTCGCCCAGGCGTTATTCTCAGTACTGTCGGCAGTCAGTGAAGGCTAAAGAAGCAATCAAGGGATGTTATATTCTCATAATGCCTACTGGGCAAAACAGCAAAAGGAAGATTTTGATGAGATGTTTTGTGGCCAAAATGTTGTAGTCTGAGATGTTTTATTTAATGTATAGTGCTAAATCTGTACATTGTCTTTCACAAATTGATATAAATTACTCCAAAAGACTCCACATCATCATATGCTAACAGCACAGTTAACCTAGTGGCTACTCTGCTGAAACAGCAGGACCTCTTTCCCTCATCATTTGTATTATCGCTGCAGGCTTCTCCCACTCAGCCTTCACGTTTGGCATAGAGAGCCACATCAGCCAGTCGAACATCAACGGAGCGCTGGTGCCCCCCGCTGCCCTCATCTCCATCATCCAGAAAGGCCTGCAGTATGTGGAGGCTGAGGTTAGCATCAATGAGGTGAGTCACAGCTGTTACTACTCCATTCACAACATACTTCATTATTCGCTGGAGCTGAATGTGTTTGTTTTCATCGCACCTTATATCTGATGACCTTTGGTTTGACACTGTGAGGTTCTATGCTTCAGTGCCTGCTTGTGGTCTGCCGCAAGTCAGCTCAGCGGTTAAATGAGCTATTGACGGAGCATAATGCACTCTGCATGACTTTGATTACATTGTAATGGTTGAATTATGCAGAAATCTTGAGTAATCAGAGAATTCTCCTTTAAATAACATTTAACTTTATATACACTCCTGGGCAAAAAAAATGTGTCACGCCCAAAATGGTAAAACACTAAGATTCAAATGGTCTTAACAACAAATCATTAAATAAATAAAGTAACTTAACGTGGGATAGTTTTTCCCCTTGAGTTCTTAAAATGTTGAAGTGTTTTGTGTAAATTTCAGACAACCTGTTACAGAAAGAAGAGTCAGTGTCTTCCTCTCAGCTGAAAAACATTGCTGAGCTAGTTTGTGTTTTAACACAAGACCAAATATTTCAAATAGTTCTGATTTCTGTCTTTACTAGCTTTTGGAAAGAGGCTGCGACAAGTCTGTTATCAACAAAGACAGTCAGCAACTTTGTTTTCGTCTGAAATCGACACCTTTTTTCATAGAATACCTTGATTTCTGTGGACTGTTGTTACTGCTGATTTGCCATTAACCAAAATATAGCCACGAACGGCAATCAGCGGAGCCCAAGCACTGCTTATGTCGATTCTCGACTTCTTTTTCACTCCTTGTGAGTTTGCACTGCACTCATTGTCCACTTTATTAGAACACCCATCTGTTGTGTTAGCTAACCATCCTCAGTTCCTTCAGGAGTTGTCAGTTTATGATCAGAGCGGCTTTTTGCTGGATATTTTTGGGAGGTGGTCCGCTCTCAACCCAGCAGTGACAGTGATGTGTGTAAGAACCTCAGCAACGCCGCTGTGCTGAGAATGATCCACCACCTATATAATATCTGGCCAGCAGTGATCCTACGGTCAGTCATCACCTCTCTGCTGCTTCTGCTTTCTCAGGACGGCACGCTGTTCGACGGGCGGCCGATCGAGTCTCTGTCTCTGATTGACGCGGTGATGCCGGACGTGGTGCAGACGCGGCAGCAAGTGTACCGGGACAAACTGGCCCAGCAGCAGGCTGCTTCAGCCTCCAGCACCTCCGGCACTGCTGGGGCCAAAAACGGCGAGAATGCTGCAAACGGAGAGGAGAACGGAGCACACAACTTACCCAGTGAGCACATATTCACTCTGTCTCACACGTAATCTGTTCTAGAGGATCCTTGCACTGCACTATTACTAAAATCTTGAGCTGAAGTGTCTCTGAGTGTCTCAGAGCAGGGAAAACATTAAAATATACAGTTTAGAAGTATTTTAGATCCAGGATTGGGAAACACTACGTTAACAGATGCACATTATTCACTGAAGATCATGGAACTCAGGCACATTACCACTGTGGTACCATGGAAGAAGGAGACTGTTAGTTTCTATATCCAGTGTCGCTGTAAAGAGATTTTGAGCATACTGAGTGTGAGCCCTGCTGTCGTCCTGTTAGATCATCACTCTGACATGATGGAGGTGGACCGGACAGTGGAGATCCCGGCCAGTAAAGCCATGGTGCTGCGAGGTCACGAGTCTGAGGTGTTCATCTGTGCCTGGAACCCTGTCAGCGACCTTCTCGCCTCTGGGTCAGTCACACTTTTCCCCATATGTTTGTGCTCTGATTTAGGGGCTGCAACGATTGGTCGACAGTCATAAATTAATAATTACAGAAGCAGTTAGAACTGCAACAAACACATTTTCATAATCGATTAGTTGGTCCATAATGACTGTGATTAATCGATTAGTTGGGAAACAAAAACTTGTATTAGCATGTATTAGTCTGGCAATAGTGTTTTGTTCAACAAATAAAAAATACACCACAAACAAATCATTTGATGTGATGTAAATAGGAAGCGCAAGCATCATAAAGCCAACGAATCGATAACAATGTATTATTTTTGAAGTTATCAATAATGTCGATTAGTTGTTGCAGCACTGTAATCAGTAGTTGGAGCCCAACTTTGTCCTCATTGTTTTCGTTTTCACCTCCTCTCACATTAAATTGGTGACTGTGAACGTTTATACTTTTGTGTTTCATAGTTCCTGTAAGAATGGTCAGCGTGAAGACCTCCTTTTTCTAGATGCAACTTGTTGATTAGTTCACAACGTGTCCGCGAATCACATTCAGAAGTGATCATCGCGTGCGTAGAGTGAGTGTTTGCGCATATGTGTTCACTCTGCTGTGTGTGTCCAGGTCCGGGGACTCGACGGCGCGGATCTGGAACCTGAGTGAGAGCAGCTCAGGCGGATCCACACAGCTGGTGCTACGCCACTGCATCCGAGAGGGAGGCCAGGACGTGCCCAGCAACAAAGACGTCACCTCACTGGACTGGAATGTGAGAGCCAGAGCTTCTCCCTCTCTCTCTCTCCCTCTCTGGTCTTGGGGGAATATTTTTTTTGTCTTTACTTGTCCTAGTTTTGAGCACAACCTTACAAGCCATAGTTTGTTGAAACTATCTCAGATGTGGCTGATCAGCCTTGTTTGGTGTTTGAGGCTACAGGATAAAACCGCACGGACAGTGATATGCAAAATTTGTATGCACCCAGAATTTTTGCATGTAATTGTGTATTAAAATGGGCACAGTCTGTTCTCTGTAGATGGTCTGTTCACTTATTTTCATTTAGAAAATGCCGTTTGACCAGGTGCACCCAAATTTTTGCATATGACTAAGTCTAGTTAAGATTACTGAGCAACTTGACACTGTTAAGCGAGTGTGCAGTGATTCAGACACTCGTCTTACATTATTCTATTTGGTGGGTTATACAGTCCTATTAATCGTTAGCTACATTAGCTCCAGCGCAAAACTAAAGGAGCAAACTTCAGACACCAAACATGTCTTGGCTACTTGGCTAGGGACAGGCCTGTGCCCAGTAACGGTAACAGCCCTGAGTGACTGTTAACACTTGGGGGAGAACTTAAATGTGGTGTTCATGATCATGAAATTATAGCTGATGATAAAATGTCATATAAATAATCGCGATTAACGATTTCTCTTACTTTTATTGGTTATGGTATGCAACTATCAAAGTGGCCAAAGTGGCCAAACTGGCTTATTAGCCAGTGTTCGCTTCATAGTTATGTTTACTAGCCAACACTGGTAGTTCTGTTTAACTGATGCAACATCTTGTTAGGCACACAAATGTTTGTTACACAGAATCGTGTAGTTTCTGTTTTTTCTTGAGAGTGAAATATGAGCAAAAGAACCCTCGTTCTGCTAGCTTACAAGCTAAAACCATTGGAATTAGTGACTGAGCTAACAAATAAACATTACTCAGCGCAGACCTTTAAATCTGTTACAGCACCAAGTTAGAGATTAGAACTTCTTTTGTTTAAAGCCCTATTCGGGCAGGATTAGTATTACATAAAGAGGTGGAGTAATGTAATTATTATCACTGTTACTCAGTGATGTTAGTCCCCTCCGAATGCGCCATGACGGTCATTTTTACCGACTGCGCGCTCTCGCGTCAGTAAAGATTCCAGCACCTGTTATCTTCTGTAAAACAAACTGTAAATGGTCGGTTGCTAGGTAACAGACATGACGGTTGATTGTCGACCAAGTTAAGATTTTGTAACTTAAGATATTGTAAGATAAGATTCCTAAATTAAGATTTAATTAATTTAAGATTTACTTCTTTAACATCTTATTCACCAGGGTATATTTTGGTTTGTCCATCTGAATTTACATGACCAAATCATAAGGCAAATTATTCAGAAACTGCATGAAATAAATGCAAATTTTTATTTTATTTTATTTATTTATTGTAAAAGTTCCTCTCAAATGAACAGACACATATTGCTATATGTTTACAATTTACTGCTGAAAGCCAAAAATCTTAGATGCTCTTTCTATTATTTTATAAAAATAATTTTTACAGAGCAGATCACTGAAGAGACGCCATCTGTTTATGGTTTATAGCCCAGATTTGTGGAAAAATGAGTCGACTTTCAGTAGAAAAATAAATTGTGAGTTCAGCTTCTTTTATTATAAGGGTTTTAAAGCTTATGAAATATGAAAGTTATGGAGAATATGACGAAGTGCGTTTTGGAACCACCGGTGGTGCCAAGGAGTTGAAAAGGTTAATACGAATTTGTAAAAAAAAATGTTTTGTCTTAACCTGTCAGATCTTAAGTTAAGACAGGAAGTTTCTGTAATACAGTCTCTGCTTTCTGCAAGTTACTTTTAGCAATCACTCTTATTCTTGTTGGTTTGGGCTTGGTAGTCTCAAACTGATAGATCACAGACACACTGTTTGGATATTGTCTCTCTCCCTTATTCTCTCTCTCTCTCTTTTTATGGACAGAGTGAAGGTACACTTCTAGCCACGGGCTCCTATGATGGCTTTGCCAGAATATGGACTAAAGATGGTGAGTATAATTGATCCAAAACACAGCCGTAGTTATTAACTTTACTCACTTTTTTCACTTTATAATAAACGTAATGTTTTTTAGGAAACCTTGCCAGTACATTGGGGCAACACAAGGGTCCCATATTTGCTCTAAAGTGGAACAAGAAAGGCAACTTTATCCTTAGTGCTGGTGTTGATAAGGTAAGAGCTGTTCTGCTGTCTGCACTTTGCTTTGATTCTCCTTTTTTAAGTGATTTTTTTTGGTTGAAGAAGTTTGAATTGCTGCTTTGTGTTAAATGTCAAGCTAACTTGAATTGTTTTCCTCAGACCACAATCATTTGGGATGCACACACAGGAGAAGCCAAACAGCAGTTTCCATTCCATTCAGGTAAGTGCCAAGATTTTCTCTGTCTGTTCTGCCAAATGCTTTATGCAGGACTAAGTTTGTCCTTTTCCGACTGTGCTGTAAGGAAGAGGTAAATCAACTGAATAGATAATGGAGGCACATGCAACGTCAGCAGTTGTAGTAAGTTGTCATAATTACCCACAAACTAGGAACTAGAGGTTTGTATTTTAAAATAAAGGAAAAAGTCTAAAAAATGCGGTAATAATTTAGGCTTTTAATGCTCAAATTAGCTGTTTAGAAACCTTGTATCAGGGGTCGGCAACATGCAGCTCTTTTACTGCCCTGTTGTGGCTCAACAGCAGAATCAGATTTGTAGGTAAAAATAAAATAATCCTCCTTTACAGTAAAATAAAGCTCTGCTGATCGTTCAACACAGTTTAACAATAAATGGTCTTAAACGCTGGAGTTAATGTAGAACTGCTACTTCACCCTTTAACCCTAAAGGTTGGCGCACAGACCCCATAGCGACAAAGACAGTCTCGCCTACCTAGTAGCTAACGAAAAGGCAAAGAGAAAGATTTAAGACTAGTATTGATAATTTGGAGATGAATATCTGCATTTATAAGCTCTCAGCTGGTTTCCTGATGCGTTTAATCTGCAACGAGAAACTCAAACACTAATGTTGCGAAGCTGAAGTCAGATTCTCATTTCTCAGTTACATTCTGGCGCCTCAGGCACCATTTAAGGTGGAACGGGAAAATTTGAACAAGAAGCTGGCGAATGAGAAGCGAAAAGTCGAAGGTTGAGAGACATTTTACAAGAAACTGTTATACTTTTGCGGAAAAGTTTCCTGCCGGAGATGCGAGAAAAGCAGCCATAGCTGAGCTAAAGTTTAAAGCAGAGTCTGCATTTTCATTTATATTATATTTTTAAACTATAATAGTATATTAGCGCATACTGAGCCATATTTAAGCCAATACGGTAAAACACTACTTCAATAAATGGGCATAAAATGTTGTGGCTCCCAAGGTGGTTTGGTTTTTGTTGTATGGACAAAATGGCTCTTCTTAACATTTGAGTTGCCGACCCCTGCCTTAAATGGATCATTGTACCAATTTAGTTCAAAGTTAGAGTTGAAAACACAGTTGGACTTGGTCTGTAGACTAAAATCATTTTGTTTTGCGTGACCCTTTACCTTAATTATACTTATTTTATTAAAGTAAATGATGGAACGTTCCATTTTGTCACTACCAAAAGAATCATTATTTTACCAGATGTTTCGGTAGAGACAGTTTTAGCTCTTTTTGAGCAGAACTCAGAAATGCAGCCAGTACATGACTAGCAAACACAGCTTTTTCATTAAAACACAAAGTTGTATCACAGAAAAATTTGTTTCGGTACTGACAGTTCTTAATGTTACACACTGATTTTCAGACTTTGGCACACTTCAAAACAATGGGATGTAATTGCTCACCATGTGACCATGAGAGACAGGGATGCAGCCACACTTCCTGCTCTAAAATACGGGGGAGTGGCTAAAATAAGCCCCGCCTACAGACTAAAACTCATTGTTTCGGTAGTGACGTGACAATGTGAGACAGCATTTTTAATAAAGTTATTTCTATGTAAAAATCAAACTCATGGAAAATGTAAATCTTTCAACTTCACTTTAAGCCGGAGTGACACTACACGACTTTAGCCCCGATTCTCAGTCTGAACGAGTCAGTGCTGGTCGGCTCTAGTCTGTAGATTTTTGGGTCAGTTGGAGTCGACAGTTGGAGAGAGTCGAGTCGTGTGTGAGGGACTCCGATTTTTGGCGCATTTCAGACCAGTCAGAGTTTATCAAACGTTTTTTTTCTGACCCGACCCGAGTGTAATCTAGTGTAAACTGGTCAACGACTCAGTCTGAACGGATTCCCTCAACAGCCAGTGAAAAAACTGAGAGCACGAAAGAAGAAAATACAGCAAGTAAACAAAGAAAACTGGCGAAAAGTTTCACATGTGGAGCAAAGCTTTCTAATGAGCTGAGTTTAAGGCACAGTCGAGTTTATGCACATTTAAAACTCTAAAAATACCACTGATCACATTTTTAAATCAATGAGCCTCTTAAACATGTTTACCTGCTGCTTCTTTACTGTGTCAGCAGCTCCACGTTTGTTTATTTGGGTCTCCTAGTAACAGAAGAACGCAAGCGTCCACGAGAGTTCGCCTAAGTTCAGTGAGCTTCGTTTGGTTCACCAGAAGCGGAGAAGTTAAGTAGTGTGTGATGCCCAATATTTCAGCCACCCAAAAAAATCTGCAGAAACCAGTCTGATGGTGTGAGATGCCCAGTCTTTTATAATTTTTAAAGACTTTAAAAGTCGTGTAGTGTCCCCAAGGCTTTAAAAGAAATCAAAAAGATCTTTTAAAACCAACATTGAAAACATTTGAAAAGGATGATTTTCACAAGTGTAAATTTAAGAGTTTGGGTTTGGGACGGACACCTCCCAGTAGAAAGTACCTATTAGCGATGATTTTGTGCATATTCAGCTTATTACTATCTCTGTTAATGTCTTGGCTTTAAATAGATCATAAAGTAATCCTTTAAAATATCTAAGGTCTGAAATCTTGATTGTTTTTAAATAGTTTAACTATGGAACTGCAGTTTGAACTAATTCAGCAGAATGGTCCATATACGTCTTCAAATTTAAGAATCGTGTGATATAGATATGTGGAGCTTGTCTAATGTTTTGATCAGACATTCTAGATAGTTAAGGTACAATGAAAAACTTTGACAGACCACTGCAGCCTAAGACGTCTATGCACAAGTTGTTTGGAAAGCAAATCTAAAAGAAAATGAGGGGCTTTGCCAAATAAAGCTGGCGTTTCATAAATGAACATTGAATAATAAGTCAACAACAAATTATTTATTGATTTTCTTTTAATAATGCCTTAAATATTACTATTTTGCCTGAAAATCCAATCCCTATTACAGACCAGCACTTAACATAGCCACTGTGCAAACAAAGAAGTGTGAACATATTCAGGATGATGTTCTCCTGTTTATTTTGTCTGTTCTCTGTCTGTGTGCAGCTCCCGCTCTGGACGTGGACTGGCAGAGCAATAACACGTTCGCCTCCTGCAGCACAGACATGTGCATCCACGTTTGCAAGCTGGGCCAGGACAGACCAGTCAAGACATTCCAGGGCCACACGGTAATGTTTCTTTTTAAAACTGTCTAATTAACTGAGTGTGTGTGTGTCTGTGTTGAGCTGATGGTTAGATTCCCCTTTTTCTGTCTGATCTCAGAATGAAGTGAACGCAATCAAGTGGGATCCAACCGGCAGCCTTCTGGCCTCCTGCTCTGACGACATGACGCTAAAGGTAACGTGCAGCCGATCAACAAGGAACCTGTTTAGAACAAGATGGCCTTTATAGGGCTTTAGGCTTTCTAGTTTGAAGGATAAACGGCAATATGGTCAGAAATGGTCTTGACATCTTTGTCCACACACCTTCGCTATGACCTCATTATGCTAATCGTTTTTATATCGAAATTGCATATTTAAATAGGGCAGTTTTCAAATCACAAGAGCTGCAGCTTGAAGTTATATCCCACCTTATTCCACATTCTTAACAGGTTTTAAGTGGTTGAATTTAACCTAGTAACAGAGTTTGTGAACTGGCAGTTTGGAACACTATAGTCAGCATTCAAGGCCCAATCGTCTCTTAATTTTACCACTTGTTTTCGAGTGTCACCCTGCTCCTTGGAACTGAGTTACAAGTTGTAGTGGTTGAAATCTTCCCTATGAAATTGGAGCCTTAAATAAAAAAGAACATTACTTCATTTTCAGGCTACTAGTGCTGTTCTATAGGTGACCCTGCCAGTCTGCAGTGATAGCAGAGGAGGGTATAGTTCAGCTCCTCACTGCTGGGCTTTAGTTACATTTAGGGAATCATATGTTGTCAAAGAGGGACAGTTATTTATTATCGTCCACCCCTAATTCTTCAGCAATATGAAGCTGAAGTCAGATATTCACCAGCTTCTTGTTCAAATTTTCCCGTTCCACCTTGAATAGAGCAGCAGTTCTGATGCCTGAGGTGCCAGAATGTAACTACAGCACTATTTAACGAATTTTTTATGGTTGTTATGAAGAAAAGGACCATACTACATCAAAATGACATTAAACTAAGACAATACAATTGTTATTGTATTTTTTTAATGGAGTAAATTCTCACATTTGTTGGTTTCATTTGGTTGCTTGTGCAGCCATCTTGCGGGTTTTTCTTTTTTTTCCTCATAACACTGTTTGGAGTCTCTGAAAAACCTCTGTTTGGAGAGCCATGTAGTCCTAACGCTTCACCCTACCCCTAGACGTGAACACGCAAAATAGACGGGTGAGGCTAAGTGGTAGGGACGAGGGGTGAAAAGGGGTTGGGCCAAAGCCTCAAGTGTTAATAAATGGAAGTAGAAGCGCTGCCTTTTTGGCACAAAAGCATGGAGCTTAATGTATATAACACAATCATAATCAGAAAACAAATAAAAAAAACAAAAGCAATTAGATATTTTTCACCCACATTGTTCAGCCCTGTTTGTCCATCGTTTGATGTGGATAGTTCTTAATAACTATATGCATTTTCTAGTGCTCATTAGAAAGTCTGAGTAGTATTGTGGCTCCTGAATAAAATAAATGGTGTATTTAAGTGTTGTCATAAAAATGATTTATTTTTATGACAACACATCAACAATCTTTATAAAGATACATCACATAAGTAAGCACAAATACAAAATATAAATAAAAATCTCTGCTTTAATTAGCCTTGTACTTTCACTGGGCCTTTACATTCTACATTCAGCACTCAGCATCTTTAAAACCTTTACTTTGTGCTGTTTTGAGAAAATGGCTAGACGACTTCTCTCTCCCCATCTAGCATGTAACAGGCACGTATTGCCACCTGGTGTACAGAAGCAGTCACTGTTCCAAGTTGAAGCCCTTTCTGCTGATACTGGACTGAGCAACAGATTCTAGTATAATCATTTTTATTGAAAATACTTTGTGTATTATTGTTATCAAGAAATGTTTGATTTTGTTCTTTATTATTATTGCTTCATAGCCCAGACCTTTTTGGTAACCATTCTAGAGATCTTTGGGTTCTGTATTTATCAGACTGAGTATTGCACCATATATAAAGTTATTTATTTTTTCAGATCATAATCAGGGAGGCTATGAAATGATGAGTACACTTTTTTTATTTCCAGCTTTGGAGTATGAAGCAGGACACGTGTGTTCACGACTTACAAGCCCATAGTAAAGAGATTTACACCATTAAATGGAGCCCCACTGGACCTGGAACCAACAATCCCAACGCCAATCTTATGCTGGCCAGGTACGCAGTCATCCATCCAAACACCTGCTGACCTGCCACCTAGAAACAGGAGTGGACAGTCAGAGTCCTGTATGACAACAACATAACGCATTATGAAGTTTTCTCTGCTTTATTATGGGAAAACGGTGCACTGAGTGGCCAGTAGCCTAGTGGTAGGAAAGGTGAACAGCAACTGGAAGGTTGTGGGTTCAAATCCCAGGACAGAGCGGGTTATACCTGGTTGCTTACCTTGGCGGTGCTACCTTGCTGGCAATGCTACGGCTCCCAGGCTGGGCGTCGTTAGGCAGCAAAGTGACGAATTTCTCTTGTAGCATTAGAAAAGTATAATAATAATAACAGCAATCTTTGCATTTGCTTGCCTTGCAACTTAATAGATAGGATTTCGGGTACCATAGCTGTGCTCAGTTTGAGAATTATTTCATAAATAGCCAAATTGCAACCCCAGTTCTGGCCCAACTCTGTCTCATTAGCCATCTTTGAGAAACACATTAAGAAGTGAAATATTGAATAGAAATCTCCAAAATTTGTCCCAGCTAGTCACATAGTATTTGTGTATATGTTGCTGAGTGGAAAAGAGTCAAACCTTTTAAGTTAAAAGTGTAGACCCTTTGACTTATTTGAGGCCTCTATGCTGAAAGCTGGAGTTGGGCTTCTGTAGTTTTGCAATGAAAGCTCATGACTGACATTTAGCATTGTGTAAACTGCATGCCTAAATGATGGCTGCTACTTTATTTGGCTATGCTGTGTCCCTCCACTTTATAAATAACTCTCATACAGTATCAGAAACCTCATGAGCAAGTCTATTTGAGATTACTTAACAACTGGACTCGTTTGAGAGAAGCGTGTGATGAATTAGGCCTGGCCTGCAGATTAAATCAGTAAGGTTAACTTGCTTTTACTTGTTAGCGATGTTAGATTTGGTACAAATCTAGAAGTTAACTTCAGACATCAGACATGTTTTGGCCGATCAGCTACTTTTGGGCTGAGGGGAGAATCTCGAAAAATAGATTTTTTTTGCCAAAGTGCCTCTTTGTTGAGATGTTGGGGTTGTGGTGTGACGTCTTTCTCTCCTACAGTGCGTCGTTTGACTCGACGGTGCGACTTTGGGATGCTGAACGTGGCGCCTGCATCCATACGCTCACCCGGCACCAGGAGCCCGTTTACAGCGTGGCCTTCAGCCCCGACGGACGGCATCTGGCCAGTGGCTCCTTCGATAAATGTGTCCACATCTGGAACACACAGGTACGACGTACATATTTAGCCTTTCGCAAGTTTTCCAAATTGGAACAGAGGACAAATATTAGTACCCTTTTTTATTTTATTATTATTTTAAAAGGGATTTGTCATTTTTTTTGTCCCCCGATTCGATTTGGAGTTTTATTGGTTGATTCAGTATTTTTATATTTGTAGATAATGGCCGCTTATGGATTGCCATTGAGTGGCAAGGAAAATCGCCATTATTCGCCACTGTTCAGTCACAATAATTAGTTAGTTAGTATATGCATATTGTAAAGCTCTGAACTGGGATGTTTTGTTTTTTTTGGCCTACTTTTTAACCTCCCTGATGATTTTGCTGTTACTTTTAAATGCTGCAGTAAAATCACACACTGTTATGCACTCTTAGATGATATCCCTCACTTTGTGGACTTCTTTAATATTTAATATTCATATCATCACAAATGTGTTAAAATTTCATATTGCTCTAACATGCACTGTGGCCGCTCCTTTTGCTCCATTTCGAACATGTTGTTTATGCTAGCGACACTGATACGTACTGGAAGCAGCTCAGTGTGAGCATCTGTTTCAGCAATGCTTTCGTTTTCAACCAGTCATGACTCTTAAATGAAAACATCGTGGGAGAGTATTTTGTACATGAATTTGGTGGCATGTCGCTCACGGCAAGAGAATAAGCTCAAAGTGTGATAGCCACGTTCCGGTGTTTTGATGAAAAGCGGCTCAAACACAGTCAAAGCAGTTGTTTTTTAATCCAACATCTGCAAAACAAATGAATCAGTATGTTAAAATAAGATTAAAAAACAAGGGCTGACGTTAAGTCAGCAGCTTGTTACTGTGAAGTTACTGTACACTCATCTATCCTCATAACGTCTCATTCCCATTTACTTACACATCCTGTTACATTTCTCCAAACCCACCAGTCATTTTGTGGTTTTCCTCTGTTCCAACTGTCATCTGAGCCTGACGTTCAGTGTCTCTTGATGATCACCTAACTCAGTTACTCATCTTTTCCTGTGCGCTTCTGCTTTCTCCCACAGACCGGTGCTCTAGTGAACAGCTATCGGGGGACGGGGGGCATTTTCGAAGTGTGCTGGAACTCCACCGGAGACAAAGTGGGAGCAAGTGCGTCGGACGGATCGGTAAGTCTTGGTTCTCTTACAGAGCAGAGAAACAAGGTATTTGATACACCGGTCAAAATCTCAGCGAAAGCCTATTTGAGTGGCTAAGAATGTCGCAGAGCATGTGGAGCTTCTGCTGGAAAAGCATCTCCGGTGGCTCATCATGAGGCCACGTGTGTAAAGCCGCATCAAGGCACAGCGAGGTTCCTCTGCAGAGTGTAAAATCGACAACACTTCAGTCCCGGTTTATTTGAATAGCCTCTATTATTGATGTTCAGATTATTAACAAACTTTCTGGTGTCTTCAAGGAGGGTCAAGATTAGGGTTAGGAGTCGTACCAGAGTTAGATCTAGATGTCTTAACAGTCAGGGTTCCCTATAAGTTGGAAGCTACTAAGTATGAACACCTCGGAAGCAAGATAGCTAATCAGCTATTTAGGCTTGTACTTCTACAGTTGAATACAGCGAACATAGACAACAAAGACAATTATTAACAGCGATTACTTCTAAAGCCGTAATCAGACAGAATTCGTTTTACATGAGGAGGTTCTGACTGAATGCGCCATGTCAGTTATTTTTATAGAAGTGGAAGTAGATATAATCCCATGCAAATCCACATGTTGATGAAAACGCTGTCAGTATGGAGGCACTCAGAGAAGCGTTCACTTGTGTTCTCTGTGGCTTAAATCAAGCTGATATGTTACGTTACTGTCCTGCCTCACATGTACATCTCAGAAAATGTAGAAAATTACAGAAGTGTTTGATTTTATGCTGACTATGTTGACTGTTTGCTGTGAATTTCCAAGCTAATGACATGTTGTGTTCACTTCAGACAGTAAGGTAAATAGGGTAAAGAAATACTGGCTGAATTAAATGTCTTGACATTTTCTACTTTTTTCTGAAGTAAAGCTGGTGTGTGAATCAAGCAGCCACTCCCATCTCTGTCATTTACACTGAGATTTCTTTGTTAGTATATCATCAGTTAAAACTACATTATTGTGAAAGTCCAACTAAGTCCAACCTGCAGAGCGTTGTGTTTAGTATGTTTTGAGGCAGGATGTCGGATTAAGCAGCACTCCCAGCGTAATAACGGCTAATCCATCTGTTTCAGGTTTGTGTATTAGACCTGCGGAAATGATGCTGCCAACCGGGGAAGCCATGGACCGACTATGAATGTGTACATAGCCAAATTCACTGACTGTCCCTGGCCCTGGGTCTGCTGATCTGAGCTCTGGACCCCAGAGAGCCCTCTCAGAGAGGACACACTGTTCCACGCGTTCACACACACACAGGTGTGATAAAGGACTGTTATTTTCCCACACAGGACACATGACCAATAAATCACCAGTGTACATCTGTTATTTTATTATTTTTTTTTTTTTAAGAAAGAAAAATTCCCTTTATCTTCATTCCAAAACGAAGAGGCAGCCGATATCATCGCTGACGTGTGTAGTGCACGTTCAGCACTAAGTAGACTGTCGTTTTATTTTAGCAGCTGATGAGATTCTGTTGGTCGTCAGTCACTGAGAGCGGTTTTTGGTGACAGAGCAGTCAAGAAAGGCTGCATATCTAACAGTTTCCCTCTTTTATTTCTTTCTTTTGAGACAATTTAATTTTTTTTAGCTTTAGATGTCCGAGTGAGGCCATTAGATGACCTGTATACTCATACGGTGAAGCGAAAGGTTCATCTTTTTAAATACGACCTATGCAACATTTATGGCTAGACAAAATCGAACGAATGAACTGAAATTAATTCTAGGTTTACTGCCCATCCTAACTTTTTTCCCGCAGACGTTTGCTCCGAAATGATCGGCCAGTACTCCCCAGGAGAATACCATGGGCATTTCTCTAGTAGTTCCACTTGAAAGGTAGAGTATCGGTTATTAGGATAATGTATCGAGGCCAAAAATCGTTGCAGCTGTTCGGCAGCATTAACAACAATCGCGCCTCAGCTTCGTTTGGTATTAGAGTCCAGTAGTGCTCAGGTTACTTCTGCAGCGCTGAACGTGAACGTTCGCCATGTCTGTGGTGTATTGCAGAGTGTAAACTCCTTTATCTGGTCGACTTCACCCCTTTAAAGTGACAGTTTTCTCCCTTACTTCAAATTTAGTCCACCAGTCAGGACAGTTTTGGTGTCTGAAGTATCTGAAGCTTCTTTAGTGTTGCGTTGGAGCTGTGAGGCTAATGAAGCTCAGTGGTTCTCAAACCACATTTTTTGCTTGATCTCAGTTCCCAACATCCAGGAATTGTGCGTAAGTGTACCGTTTCAGGTTGCCTGAGGACTGGTTTGAGAGCCACTGATGCATACATGTATAAATGTTTTTTTCTAAGTAAAGGCAGTTCTCAGTTCTTATATAGAACCATTTCATACTTCAGTAAATCTTTGCCTTGTGAAATAGCTCTTCAGATTGCTTGTAACAATAGAAGAACCCTTTTTTGATGCTATATAGAACCATCATCAAAAGTTTCTAAATAGAACCATATACAACACATTCTCAATCCATCTGAAGAACCTTTTCACCAGGCTCATTTAAGAATCATTTAAGCATGAAATGGTTCTATATAGATCTCATGGTTCTAAGTAGAACTGTTGCCTTTACTAAAGGACCTTTGGAGAGCCCTTTGTAAGTGTGTAGATAACAAGAATGGAAGCTCACACCCCACCAGTCAGCATCGTACAAACTGCATTCCTAAATCATCGAACACTTGCCTCGGATTATGTGATCTCATGGACTTTCACACACTGGTATCTGTAAAAGTGAAGGAAAGTACCTGAAGTTTGTCTGCATGAGGAATTTTTTTGAGATTATGTAACTTCATGCAGTTTACGGCAAGTGTAAATCAAGACACCGGCTATCCAGGAATGGACTTGAAAACCCCTGATGTGGTCAGTTAGGGCCAGTTTTTTTCTCAGACCCAGATTAAGACTATTACACTGTGAAAAGTGGCTCGTCAGATCTACCTAAAGAAATAACTTCATGTGGTATCAAGAAAATTAACAAGTTTTATTCAACCTAAATAAATACTTTGAATGAGCGATTCTTTCAGTCAATGTAGTTTAAGTTGAACAGAACTAGTTCAGTTGCTTGTTACCACATGAAGTAATTTAAGTAGATCTGATGAGCATAGATTCATCATTAGCGCTGCAATTTAGTCCAAGATTAGGCTTAAAATGCTATTTTTCTCAAATATTTTGCATAATTAAAGCTTTCAGAGTAGTTTGCTGTGAAATGGTTCACTGTAGATAAATGTTCTTCACAGTGGTGGTGATGGGAACCAGGGGTTGCCATGTCTACAACACTTTTACAGTCAAAAACAGAGAACCTTAGTCTTTATATGCAATGATGATGATAAATAGTTCTAAATCTGAAAAAGTAAGGTTTCTTTGGGGACTGTTGTGCCTCTCAACACCCTGGATGTACCTTTCCGCCATGAATTGTCTTTAAAAACGCTTTTTAGGCCAGAAATATAAAATAATGTGATCAGGCAGCTTATTAGTAACTTTGTGGGGGAGCTCTTAGAGGCATTAAACTCCTCAGACGTCTGGTTCCTATCATCACCACTGTAATGTGAACAATCCTGACTAGGACGCCGCGTTCAAAATCAGACCTTTCTGAATTACTTTCTATCTTAAATGTTTTAGGATGCATATATTTTGAAACATCAGTGGAGTTCCCCTTTGATTCATGACTGGGAAAGCAAAATATGAGCACCAGACTGTCTTGGATGTTCAGTTACATTTAGTTTAAAGGGGAAAACTGTCCATTTGAAGTCTCACTTTAATGGCCCATCGTAACACTGTTGGTCTCTGCGTGACCTCAATCACAGATCAGAGCTGTAGGAGCAGCACTTTCTAAACGCCTGCAGCTTTCACAACGAGTTCAGTCTCCTTTGCCCTCGTATGTCATCATGGAACAGAGAGAAGGTGTCCCCTTCAGAGCAGCGAAGGTCGGTCTGTGCACTGAAAGTCGGTGGCTTTTTGTTTTTCTCGACTGCAGACCCGGAGGAAGTTTTTAATTATTATGTTTTTTTTTTTTTAAACAGAATCCACGTAAGCGCAGGGATTTTCCTAAAAACACTGCTTTGAAGTGCGTGATTAACAGATGAGCTGTCAAGTTCCTTTATAAAATACCATTAGACGGTCATAGTTTCTAGGAATCAGAAGTGAGAGGACGGACGACGCGCAAGTTACTCTCCTGCACTTTAGATAGACGTTAATGCAAAGAGTTCCATTGAGCACTTAACAGTTCTGGATATTTTTCGACAAAAAAAAACTCTAGAGATGTGTTGTATTGACTTGAACGTTAGCTGGGTTATTATAGAACGCTTGTTCTAACAGTTGTCGCAGGACGCTGCAGTCGGCATGTCCTACTGCGACGACATCCAAGGATTTTCTTTTCTTTTTTTTTGATATAAAAATCCAAGGAACTTTTATATATAAATATATAAAAATAAATCCACAGATTTTTTTAAAGATATGCTATAGCCTAGTATGGGTTCGCGTTCTTCGTCAAATGAATCATAATTTGCAGGTTTTGTCCAGAATGTCTCAAATTTTGTAAAGAGAAGAAGAGTATTTTGATGCTTGCTTTAAATAATCAACATAGATTGTACCATAAAGACACTATTTATTATATTGTCTATGACAGTGGAATGGTATTTTATAACGTTTTTTTGATTTTAAAGAGAACGTGCTTTTTATGGTGCACTCGAGAAAACAAAACACACGTCGGTTTCTTTTCCGCCTGGCTCTCTCCTCGCCGTGTCCGCGACCCCTGGAGGTTTTGTACTCTTTTAAAATCTTTTGTAATTCTGCTTTATTTGTAGGCGTCTACGCAAATTTAAGCTAAAGGACGTACATGGGCATATCGTAACATCCCGGGCCATGTAAATATCTGTTAATTTTTTTTTTTTGCTTTTGTGTTGTTTTTGTTTGTTTTTTTTTCTCCCACCACAAATCTTTTTTCCCCTCAATTTTCTTTCTCTTGCTCACAGTTTGTTGCAGAAGGTTTCTCTGCAATGTTGATTTGACCTTTGTGATTTGAGTCAAATCAAATGGAAAAAGTCCAGAATAAACTATATTTTGATAAAGAGTGTTGTTTTTGGGTTCTTTCTCACACTTTGTTTGTTTAGAAGTGACCAGACAGACACAAATCTCATTTAAAAACACAGAGCTGGGTTTCACAGAGCTCTGCAGTCGCCGTCTGGCCCAAATTAGGAGCTCTACAAGAAAAATGAATGGCTTTTTCTAGATTCCGCCTGTGGTAAAAAATTGTTCCTGGATTCACGAAAGTGTCTTAAGAAAGAAAATCTTCTTAAATGTGTTTTTTCTTAACTTCATTCTTAAGAAAAAAGCTATGAGAAATTGTAATTCTTCAGAACACTTCTTAAGAATTATCTGATTTTCTTTTTTTTAACTATTTTCTTAAAAGTATTTCTTAAAAGTGATATTCTTGAAAACATTATGTTCTTAAATGTTCTCCTAACCTTATGACAGCCTCACACTGTCTTAGGCTGTAAGAGTTGACAAGGTGGGCGTCTAAACTTATCACAGATGCTGCCTCTGCTGCTCCTGCTCGTCCTCGTTTGTCACCCCACATTTATTAAATTTTCCAATGAGGATTTTTTCTGTTAGTTATCCATCGCCTCTAGCTCGTTTGATAAAATTTTTTGGTTTAATGTTTTTCCTTTATTTTGCTTCTCTAAGCAGATTAAACTAAATGACAAATAGGTAAAATTTACGGTACGGGGTGAAATGCAACATAGCGTACATAAGAAAACAATGAAGATTGTTTTTGATTGAAATGATCATTTAAAAGTCAGAGGTACCGGGCAGATTTGGTGGTTTTGGACCACGTCATACGTGTTTACGTATTAACGTCACATGCACAGGCTCAAAAAGAAGGTCCAACTCAATGTTCAGGTCTCAAATACAAAATTAACGTCAGATTCATCTGTTTGTGGGGTTGTGAAGCACAATGCACAATGTTGCATGCAATTACATATTTCCACCAGAGAGGTCTCCAAATCCTACATAGTGTTGCTTTAAATCTAGTCCTGTTTTGAATGGGAACAATACATAGAAGATCATGTTCTCCATTGAGAGCTGGATTTTAGGTGTCCCTGTGTGAACGTGTGAAAGGCGGAGGTGGAGGTTGTCCAGGATCTAATCAAAGTGTTGGACTGGGCTTTCTGGAACAGGACTTCCAGGACGTCCAGGAACATGTTTGGAGACCCTCACTGAATGTGAACCTGTTTAACTCGAGTAGATAACCAGAAGACCTATAGCTCTTGTAGACAACACTCTGTCTGAAGATCCAAATTCATGCAAAGCAGTATGAAAATGTGTGAATGTCTTGGAAACATTGCCCGACAGCCAGGAAAATCCTGACCAGTGATGCGTCCTGGAAGAAATGGCCTGTATTTCTGAAGAATTCCAAGAAACGTTGTTCTAAAGAGGTCATTTATGTGTGATACGCTGGTGTATCCATTAGGACACCACAAGAATATGCATATACTGACTTGAAAGTGCACAATGATACATGACAGATTTGGATATTTGGCCATTTAACACAAGAAGGAGACCTAATGAAAGTAATTAAAATCCATTCTTGATGAGTGTGTTAAAAAAATCTCTTATTTTTTACACTGGCTGAAAACAAACCTTAAGGCTTTGACAGAATTCGTGTGTTTATATCACTTTCTGTTTCACGTTATCCTTTTTTTTTTCTTTCACTACAACACCCAGCATGCTTTGCCCAAAATGTTGGAGAAATGCACCGATGTGATGGTAGTGGTATCATTAGCTATATTTTGACCTTCTGGTGGGAAAAAAACAGCCCACTCTCAACTACCTGCCCTAAAGCAGGTGTAGTTTTCCAACAGTTCCACCCACCTTCAACATGAATCATCAGAGGGGTTTTTTTTTTAGTCTTCAAACTGCTGAATCTCATTTTTACGCCTATTGTAGCACCACTGTAGGAGGTGAGTAGGCATGTTTACATACAGGTGCAGCGACAGATCCATTTTTAACTTTGACCGTAGTGTCGCTTTAAGTAAAAGTATGAGCAGTGTGTCAAAATCTTAATTAAAGTGGAAAATGGAGCCGAACATCTTCAGTGAAGGTAAAAACAATACTGACATTTCAACAAACACAAGTATATACAAGAAAAAGTGTATATATTTTACATATAAATTAAGAACTTTCTTGTTTGGTGGTGGTGTGACTAATCAGCAGGTCTACTATGCTAAGGCAGCTTAACCTGATTATGTTTTATTTTACACATTAATGTGAATTTGGTTGGATGTTTTATTAAAAACCAATTCAAACACACAAGAAAAAGAGAAAAATCCCTCAGCCTTTGAGATTCAGTGTCAGTAATACTTGAGTGTAGTGACAAAGTACGATTACGCAAGTATTTTGTACCGGCACAAATTACGAATAGCTGACAAATAGGCCTATAAAAGTTTTGCTGTAGCCAGGCTGGTCGCTATAAACCTCTCAAGTCATGTCATTAGTCTGTGGTCAGCGTCGTGCCTTTATTAGAAGCTCTGGGTCTAGGCTTTTTTTTGTCTATGGGAAATTTTTGAAAATTGCTGCTAGCGCTCACTGTAGTGATCTAAGGAGCTCCAGACCAGATACTTTTTGTCCTCTGTACAATTTCCCTCTCTGGTTCCTCTGAATCATGAGGTCTTTAAGGAGCTGAGCTATGAATATTGCTGCATGAGACTTGCAATCTCACCAGAATACCCCACAAAATCCAGTAAGCGTCATCAAATGTGGAAGTTGCTTCGGCTGTTTTAGGCTGTGGTTTGAGTAGCTGGAGTTGGGAGTGTTGAACAGTGTTGACCCTGATGGCTGGAGGACAGCGGGCCACTGTTGGCTCGCTGGCGGCCCACTGGCTTTTTGCTCAGCGTTTTCTGCGCGGCCCACCTTTGTTTAAGCAGTGTATTGGACAACATCCCCCTTATCATGTCTCATTTTCCACTCACAGTCCAATTTACTGATTTTTAGTCATACTTTGTTAATTAGCTTAATAAATAATTTTAATCTAGCTCAGCGTCAGCAACAGGTTTTTTTTTTCTCATTTTTTATCAGGCCAAGTCTTTTTTTTTCTCTCTCAGTTGTTTCTTACATTTGTCTTGGTTCATTTTCTAAAATAAAAGTCTCTGTGCATTTAAAAAGTGTTTGAGGACACTAAAACTAGTTAGCCGACCTTATCAAGCCAGTGGACCCATATATGTTTGCTATCTGGGGAAGTCTAATAGACGTCCTTTCATACAATGCCAGTAGTGTTAGCTTGTAGTATTGTTTGTATACTGACTGCTAATCAGAAGGGCCTGTCTGCAGACATGCACTCTCAGCCTGACATGCACTGCCAGCCTATTGATGACGTCAGCGCTGCTCTGCCACCACAGTGTTTTTGTCGGTTTTATGAGGAAAAACAGTGAATCACGAACTGCTGGGCAACAAGAGTCACACTGAATGTATATTAATGTTGTCATACTGATAATAAGGTAATTAAATATGGAAATTTTCAATATAAAACCGACCACGACATTAAGACTTGAATGTCCGGTTTATTCACAGAAAAAACAAATAGGCTACTGAAACCCATGAAAGCCAGGCTGAAGACAATCAGAACAGGTTATTAAAACTGTAATAGTGATTAAAATAGAACTCATTAATGATTCTAGGAGGTTGTGACATCATACAGTCAACGTGGTACTGATTACTTCTGCTGTCTTGTCAATGTTGTCACAACCTCCTAGAAAGCTGTCAGACAACGTCATAATTCTGAGGAATGACATTTCAGCGTTGTGCCAATGTAGAGGGCACCAAGCAGGCGACGCTGTGGGCACCAAAACAGGACACTGTCACAATGTAACTGTGTTTGCAGGGCCGTTAGGAATAAAACCAGATGGTTTTGCTTCCTAACAGGAACTGGCTTGATGGTTGCCATTAGAGGCCATTAGGAAAGGATCAAATGCACCTGGAATCAGTCCCAGAATACCCGATTAAACGACCAGAATCCTTTACACTGTGACATCAAACCATCAGGAAAACACAGAAGACCATTAGCCACAACTGAAAACCACCAGGAACCAGCAGACACTTTTAATGGGTTCTATGATGTTTTTCAGCAGGGAGGTACAGTAAATGTAACTCTCTAGACGAGTTATGGACGAAAAGTGGATTAAGTGCTGTCAATAAGCAGCTGCAGCCAGAAGTCACCGTGCTGTCGGGCTGCTTCTGCCATTGTGGCAGAGAGTGCATGTGCACGTGACATCACGGGGGCTGAGAGTGCATCTGGCTGAGAGTGCACGTCTGCAGCCAGACTCTATTGGGGGGCTTAATTCAAGAAATCCAGTGATGATAAAATGTACTTTGGCAGCATGACATTCATTTTTCACACAAATCTGCTTAGAGTTCCTAACATCCCTGCTAAAAACAAACAAACAAACAAAAAACATAGAACCCATTAAGTGTTTCTGTTTGGTTCCTGATAGGTTTCTAACGTGTTTTGGCTTTTTAAATGGGTTGGTAACACAGTGTAAAGTATCCTGATGGTTTAACAGTTGACCAGTGGCTGAGTCTAAATGCATTTGATGGTTTCCTTGTGGGATCTGAAAGTGTTCTACAGGAAACTAGTGGTCTCGACTAAAAACCTTCAGCCAATTCCCTTTAGAAAGCAAAAGCATTAGGCTTCAATCCCAGCGGCTTC